TAACTATTTTTAACTTTTAACCGAAAATTTGGAGTTTATTTAGTTTATGTTCTAGAAGAATGACCAACTTTGTATGCAAGAATTTTTTTTAAAAATAACAATAATAAAAGATTTTATATTTAAAATATGTTATTATTATACATGTAATAATATTTTGTCACGTTATTTGAAAATTTTGCCAGTTTTTTGTTATTAAATTCGTTGAATAATGTAGTAACATATCATTAATTTTAAAATGTATTTTTCTTACATTCATAGTGCATTAAAGTTATAAACTGAGAGAGAATTTTTTTTTAATTTACAGTAGTAATTTATTATGTTACAAGTCTGACTCAAATTAATTTTAAAAATTTTTCAATTTAAATTATAGCAAGGTTTTTAAAGGGTGAAGAAAAAAATAGTGGGATTTAAATTGAAGTATTTAGCTTTTAAATCATCATTGTCAATATTTTTTTTAAATAAAATAACTTATAGATGGCATAGCCAGTTTTATTACATATAGATGTGGGTTATGGACTTGCTGTGTAGCTCGCATTAGGTTGATAATAAACAGATAAAATTCAACAAATATTAAATAAGTAGTTAAAAATATGAAGTTATGTTTGAAAAAGTAATTGATAAGTTAGTTAAAAAATAAAAATTAACTGATAATTAAAAATTATATTTAATTAAAGGTGTTAGGCTAATTTACTAAATTGTAGTATTTGCTTACGTTACTTATTGGACTAACTAATAAATATAATATAAAAGGATCTGTTTAAATAATTTTATATTTATTTTATGTACCATAATATATATTTTTACGAAATTACAGTTTTAGGCTTGTTAATTGATTTTGCATTCGTATTTTTTTAAAAGATTAATATTTTTTTAAAAAAATAGTATGCAAATGAAAAAGTTATAATTCAAATATCACTTCAAACAACATATGGTAAAAAAGTTATAAATTGTTTGCTTACTAAATATATTAGTTTACTCAAATATTATATATTATTTAAAATAACTTGTCAAACACACTCTTAATTTAAAGTTGAGTCTTGTATGTGTTAGAGTTTGAGTTGTGTGCTTGTCTAACTTTTCCTTGAAGATTAAAAAAAATGAAAATTATTTAATTCTTGACACATTTACTTAATGCTAATTATGTTTTAACTTTTAATGTAATAAATACATAATATTCATTTTTTTTCTAAATAATATGCATAAAGTTTTTCATTCACTTTTTTTTTTTTAATTTTGGAGAGAACAATTTAAATGCGACCATGCTTATCACTCCCTCTTGCATTTTTTTTTAACCTTTCTCTGCTTCCTTTTTTTTAATATTAATCCTCCCTTACTTTACTTTTTTGAAATAAACTGTAACACTATGATAAAAATGAATTTTTAGAGCATTAACTTAAACAGCGATTAGTATGAACTGCTTTATAATAACTCTTTAAGGTATACCTCCAAGTGCAGTTGATATTAAACTGCTTTCTAATATACACTTCTGAGAGCGATTAGTAGAGAATTGATTTCTAATATATACTTCTAAGAGCGATTTAGTATGAACCGTTCTCTAATCTATATTTCTAAGAGCAGTTCTCTGTTAATCACTCTCTAAAGTCACACACTTTAGAGAGCAGTTCATAGAGAACCGCTTTTTAATGTATACCTTTAAGAGTGGTTGATAAATAACTACTCTCTAATATATACTTCTGAGAACGGTTAATAGAAAACTACTCTCTAAAGTCTTTTTTCTATCTTATAAATAAAGCACGCTATCAAATCTATTCGTCTTACTAACAAAGTTGGTCACTTTTACATCTGTAAGTTCTTTTCATTTTCTCCGTCTTCTTCGTCTTTTATGAACTAACAAAATTGTTCTCTTTGTCTCTTTCACTATAAGTTCTTTTTATCTTTTCTATATTAATAAAGTTAGTCTATTTTACGTATGTTGTGACCTTTCTTATTGTTCTTTCTTTCTTTCTTTCTTCCTCTATTAACTGTGAATCATCCACTAATTTGTTCTCTTTTCTCTGCTTAATAGTATTGCAAATATGAATTATTTGGTTAATATAACGTGCAAACTCAATAAGTTTCAATTTTAATTTATGATAAAAATAAAGAAATTTTGAACATAACAATAAATTAATTTTGGTTTAAAATAGAAAATTCATGAAAAAAAAATTTAAATTTAAGATTCGCGATATACTTTAGAGAACAGTTATATGAATTGCTCTCTAAATGACATTCACTTTGTGAGAGCAAAGCCGCTCTCTAATATCAACATCTAAGAGTGGTTGTTTAACCGCTCTCTTTAAGTGCAACATATTGGATAGTACAAAATTTTAGAGTAGTTCTAAACACTATCTAAATAAAAATAAAACTGCTCTCACATCCTAGGGTAAGATTCTCTACAATAAAATAAGAATCCAAAGAAAGAGCAACAATAATACTAACTGCACACCTCATTTTCTAACATGCAAGTATTTATAATTTATGCATAAATATATCAACGATGAAAATAAGATACTATGAGTGTGCTATATATAAAGAGATCATCGGCATTTCTTTTCAAGTATATGGATGACAAGTAGAAAAGTACTAAACCCTTCACTTTGTATGTTATATTAGTATGATATAAAAAAAATCTATAATAAATAGATAGATAGACAAACACTCAAATTGAGTACATTTATTTATTATGAAAATAAAAATAATAAATTTAAATAAGTAAATTTTAAAAGAATACATAATATTTTAAAATGATCATATATAATCATTAAATTTTAAATATTTATATATAATTATATAATACAAATTTTATAATTTTCTCAAATTTAAAATAAAAGTTATACTTATTAAATACGTTTCACATATATACAACGTAAATTTCACACGGCCATTAAAAAAGTTTAATGAACAGACAATTGTATAGTTTCTGGTGAATAATCTCACATTAAAGCTGATGGCAAAGGCATGCACTATATAGATTGAGCCACATCACATGGTAACGTACTTAGCAGCTATTTACTGTGATTCACTACTAAATCTGATTCATCGATCAAGTATTTGTCATGGATTGAGTAAAAATATGTTTCTCCACATATTTTTTTAGTGAAGCTTTGTTTTCTTCTCCCAGAAAATTGTTGCTACCTTAGTTTGTTTCCTATTGATTGATCTTTATACGGAAGTTAAGGTCCAAATTAAGAAAGCTAGATTAAGTTGTTAGTAATATACAAAAGTATTTTTCTTGTAGCGAGGAATTGAACTATATACTTATATGCCGTATTGTTGACTATAAAATATATTCACTTCATTTACACATTGACTTTACGATTTGCTTATTATTCAATTAATCCTGGCGCGAGGGGATGAAAATCAGAGTTTTATTTAAAGAAATAGCAGTAACCGCGTATAGTTAATGTGCAACTTAGCTAATTAAAGTTAATTAGTTTGTAGTAATACATTTCTAAAAGCTATCATGGTTTCATTTAATTACTTGCTCCACCTTTCGGTTTACAAACATCCTAATTTAGGTTTTACTTTGTATGTCATTTTGTTGTGGCTATGAGGTTTGTTGACATTAATTATCCAGAATGTTACTATGCCAATTTACACTTTATACCATTTACATTCTCTAGTTCCTTTTGCACTTATTTAATTGTAAAGTAGATGCCAAAGTCCATACCATCAATTACTTACACGTTTAGCACTAAAGCAAAAGCTTATTGATTTCGAAATGTGGTTTTAACTTCTAATAATACTCCCATTGAAAACATCATGTATACATTATTATGGGCTACATACATATACCTTTTTAGTCTTCACACTCTTCCTCCTCCTTCTTCTTATCTCTGCGTTTTATTGGCATATGTCCAATTTGACAGTTATGACGTCATTGTTTGATTTCAGTGACCATTTTACGTCAAAATATGTAGTTTCATTACGGTCAATAATTAAAAAAAGTATATGGGTAGTTGCAAGTTCAGAGGATACATAGCATATACAAGGTATCGCCCACCAAATCCTGTTTTGAGAAGCATTTATAATTACACAATATTCAAATTAATTCAATTCATACGGTAGACGTTTATTTGCTCACTTCATATATGTGCTTTGAGGAAAAAAAGAACGAAGTTTAAAAAAATGCATAATATTTTTAACCAACTTGAATCATAAATAATAATTAGATCATCTTGGACTTCGACGGGTTTAAACGAGACTGTAAAAAAAAGTGAAATAACAACCGTTCTGCAATATGATGTTACAAGGAATTCTTTTGAAGATAACAATAACAAATAAGATTTTTCATTTCAAGTTTTATAGAGAATTTAAGGGAAAAATTTTAAAATATTTACTAAATATGTACCGAATTCATGCTTTCGATTTTGCCAACATTAATTTTTAAGGATAATTTTAAATACTAAAACAAGTTTTTATTAAAAAATATTTATTACATTAAAAATTTAAAATCATCATAATTATTTTAGTTTTAATAAAAAAAACCCTTTTAAAATTTTTAAGTCAGCTTTAAATATTTATGTTACTATTTTTTTTAAAAATAATGTTAAATCCTCAACGAAACAGTTTGCGCGTTGTACAAAAATCCTAGAAAAACATCTAAAATGATATAATTTAAAACCATTCGGGAATTATATTGGAAACAGCTTTAAATAAATCAACATCGAAAACAATTTTGCTATACATTTTGAGATTCTAGTATGAACTTACTTCAGCAATCTCGCAATTTACGAACTTAATTACTTTCTAACATGAAGATTCTTCAGCAAACGTACAGCAAGGACTAATTAGGCATCAATCTCGTGAATTCTTTAGCAAGGAAGAACTAATGCATACCTACGTACACTTATAGCCTCCAATTAGCAACATATATGTAAATATGACATAAAAGATAGCGGCATCTGGTACCACTTTTATTCTTTGTGAGAGCTTAGAATTAAGTTGCCATTACATAGAAACAATAAATCTCAGTCAATGTGTGCAAATTTTCAATACCTTCTATACTTACCATATATTCATAGAGTTCCAAGCCACGCGCAGCAATTGTGTATCTCACACTAATCACTACCCTTAATCAGATCAACACTCAAACCTTTATTCCTCAGACGGGGACAAGAAAAATTAAAGTTATGCACAAAAAGTTTCACTCTAAACACAACCTGAGGAAAAGTTGAAAGGCTACATAATTACGAGAGCCTGTGCAGATATGAACTACACTAGAATTTCTATTTGCTAATCGCTAGAATTCAAGATGGGGGTGAAAACTAGAAACCTATTTAAACTACAGACATAAGTATCATATGAAGTTAAATAATTAAATCCTTCATTTGTTATTATGATGAAGAGACACCAACACCAAGAAAATCAATGAAAGGAACTTCTTTGTGCTCAATATTGGTTTCATCGTCATCTTTTTGCTGATGATCTTTCTCCGCATTGGAAGCCCTCAACTTGGTGAATGTGGATGAGTTATCACAGAAACTCATCAAGTCCCTCTTTATCTTTCCATCATCATTAGAACCGAGGAATCTAAAAGGACTTGGAACAACCCTTTTGTAGTTGGGAAGCGAGAATGCAGGATTTGGATAAATTCTGTAAAGAAATGATCTATCTGAGCTTCTGGAACATTCTGAGATGTAAATATTAGAAGAACAAGAAGAACTGTTGACATAGTCTCTCCCTCCTTTTCTAAGTGAATCCACTACAGAAGAATTGTTTGTAGATGTTGGCACAGATGCAAAATTCCACGAGGCAAGAGAACTAGAGGGAGTATCTGCAACTATCCTATTATTATCTTTATCGAGGTTCCGAAAGTCAAAGAATCTTCCATTCTCTAACCCAAATCTCGTACTAAACAATAGGTCTTGAGGTTGTTGTGATGGTCTTTTCTCGGTGAACGAGGAACTGTTGGAATCATTGTAAACGTCTTGGAAGCTTCTCTTCCCACATAACTTAGATTGTTCCCTTTGCTTTCTCGCCATTATAACATGCCAGTGATTCTTCACAGCATTATCAGTTCGACCCGGGAAAAGCCTCGCTATGAGTGCCCACTTGTTCCCGTGAATGCGATGCGCCGCAAGAAGCCTCTCTTCTTCCTCTTCCGTGAATGGTCTTCTATTAATTCTGGGGTCAAGCTGATTGAACCACCTTAATCGGCAACTTTTCCCTGAAAGAATTGAAGAACCAAAATATGAATACATGGTTAAGGTTAACTAATCAAAGACATAAAGAGAGACATGATTTTTATGTAATATATATAAACTATAGATTTATATATGATGGAAGAAATCTATGTTAAATATAACGTACTCAAGGAATTAATCAAGCATGCTCTAGGTGCAATAGTAGTAATTCAAACTATAAACCCTTAAATGTTAAATCTATTCCACTTAGATTTTTAATTAATAAGGAGGCTGATAATACATAACTAATCCAACTTAATAGTATACTTGTACATATAAGATTCATATAATATACAAATTTATATGTATACCTGATCTTCCTTGGAGCTTCTCGGCAATTGAATTCCAGTTTTGGGCACCATATTGTTCAACAAGTTGTCTTAGCTTTTCATCCTCAGCGGGTCTCCAGTGACCACGAGGACAAGTCTTGGTGTCTTCACCAGCTGAAGAATCCTCCATGGAATAGGGGAAAAGTTACTGTGGATGCAAGGTTGATCAGGGTAGCGAAATTTTGGTGCAGCGGCGAGAAATCTTGAACATCAAGCACACAAGAGAGAAGTCATGAACAAGATATATAGGAAAGTGGAGGGGAGGGGTTGGTTTAGGGTTGTGGATGGGAAGTCACTTTTGTTGTCTTCACACGACAGATTGTGCCCTGTGTTCATGTACATAAATAGAGACCTTATGTGTCATTGTTGCCCTTTGAACTTCTTTATCAAATTCCTCTTTGCTTTTCACAAAGAAAAAAAAGGAAAGAAAAGAAAAAAAATTCCTATTGCCGTTCGTTTTCAAATTCCCTCAATTATTATATAAACCATAGCACCACGTTAATAATCAAATCCACTTGTTTGGTTACCGTATAGTTTTTATTAAAGGGACGTCTCTCCTTGATCGAAGACTGTGGTTGATTTCCCACATCAGGTAATTGTGACATTGATAAAATGAAGCAGTTTCTAAGCAATATCGATCGATAAAGTTGTTGGTGAATTATCAATCTTAAAATATTATTATTCTGCACAATATATAAAATCCTTCCAATTTTTTTTTCCATTTGGTGGTACAACAATTTTTAAACAACATCATGTGATGTATATACCTTCTTTTTGTGTTGTATACGATAGTGTAGCACATTTATGTGTTTCTTAAAATATTTTCTAGTATACTGTAATTAATATGTTAATTTTGCTGTTCTGTTAAAAATTAACATTGTAATTGAAACGATATTTATAAGAATCATAGTAATCGGGGGATAATATTCAGCTATCTTTTCATATAAACGAAATTAATTTTGCCATAATATAACTTTGCCCCTTTTGGCTCATCTGGCTTTTAATTCTACAAACTCATGTAGTAGATGAAAATTAACAAATCATATATTCATTAATTAATGCAAAAGAAAGTTGGTAAACCCAAAGTCATCGTGTTCTAAATTGGAAACATGGCAGTGTTAAATATGGTGAGATTAAAGGCACACATTTACAGGATGCCTTTGGATGAACATGTTAATTAAGTTTTTTTTTTTAATAAATTTTGTAAATTAAGTTTAGTAAAATAAATTTAGAATTTTACCGAAAAAAGTATTTCCTAAGTACAATAATAAAGTTTTTTCAAACACACATTTACACAATACATTCAGCTTGTCAGTGTTAAAGCAATTTGCTTATACAATACCTTGACAAAAATGGATTCAGCAATGGGCATTAACTTCTAGGATAAAATATGATCTAATGGATAAATTGACAATAAAAATTAATGCAGATAGATCATAATAAATATTGAAGTATTACGTCTACAAGAGTTAGTTTTGTTAGCAATTTAATTGTTCTTGGTGGACAGTTTATGAATATTACTATTGACCAAGGATGGAAAAAGGGCTGGCGGTGACATATGGCTAACTATGGCGCAAAACACCTCTTTAAAAACTAATATGGTTTTCTATAAGATTTTGAAGAATAGTTATAAATATTATATATGTGAGCCACTCCAAAGAAGCAACCTGTACTGCCTATAAGCCATTCTTCTTGATTAAAAACAAAACAGTAATTGTAAGTTTTCAATGAAGCATGTGCCTCAATTTTGTTTTCTTATTGTGGAAACGCCTTAAACCTAAATTTTTTAGCAATTTTTCTTGTTTTAATTTTTTTTTTTTTTGGAAAATTTGTTGATTCTTTTTAGAATAATTCTTGTAAATTATTTTTTGCATTATATTTTTTTTGCAAAAATATTATTTAACTAAGATAAAGTAATTAATTAGATAATAAGACAACGTATTCTAATAATTTTAAAGGGAGTTTAAAATAATGATATACGTTGTTGATAAACTTAATATCACTTGTAAAACTAATCACATTTCTTAATTTTTGTGAAATAATTAAACGAATTTACGATAAAAAAAAACTACTAATAACGAAATTTGAATTCGTAATGTGATACAAATTTTACAAACTACATAAGTTCCTGACCACATAACATTGTCCAATAAAAACCCTAAACTGCATCCCCTTGAAATTAGCCACAATTAACAGTACTAGAGTCGATTGTGCTAGACATCTTGTATAAAATATTGAAGGTTGTGACATAAGTATTGAAAAAATGGATGGTACCTTAGAAACCAATTTAGGAGCGTGTGTTCTAGTGTTGCTGCAATTAAAAATGAATTTCAATAATTTTGTTTTTGAGTTGGTTCGAGCAAGTTTTTCGTTGTTAGGTTTTAAAAAAACTATATCAAATTAACTTTTTGTAACCTCAACAAGTTTGACCTTAAACGAGTAAATTAGATTTTATTTTTCCCGTTCTAATTAGCCATTGACAAGAATAATCAAGTTGACAGATTAACACCTATTTTGATGTGTCCATTAAATCTCTTTTGGCATCCCGGGTAAAAGTGCATTCTTAAATAGAAAACATATTTTTTTTTTGTTTAATTTCACTTTTATTACTTTTTCTAATTTGGATTATGTGTGAGTCTAGTTTTTCAAATTTTTGAACTAATTAAGTTTTAAATTTTTTTTAATCATGCATATTTAATTTCGGCCCATCAGTTTTCTTCCATAAATTTTTTTCATTTTTTTATTCAAAATATCAGAGGATTTTTAATAGAATCGGAACATACAATAATTTTAAAAAAAAAAACATTGTTAAACAATGATAAATTTTTTTAAAAATATTATAATACACGAAATTAGGATTTGAAGAAAAATTTAAGATTTTTTTTACTTTAGATTAAATTTGATGTTTTGATTTATTAATGTTGAATAGAAGATACTTTAATTTGTAAAGATTTAAAGTAACAGATTAAAATTGAAGAGTTTTAGGTTAAAGAAATTGACACGGGTATAAATTTTATAATTTTAAAAATAAAAGAGACTTGAAGAAGTAAAATTAATCAGAGAAATGAAAAGTATGTGAAATATTTTCTGTTTCATCGTTAATCCTGAAAAATCTAAAAATGAAGGGCAAAGGAAAACAATTCATACATCGGATTCCTTGTAATTCACTGCAAAATACATACAATAGAATGGGTTACGGCAGTCTAATAATGGTTCCAAATCCAAATAATAGTCTTACAGAGAATTGATGAGCAGGTGATGTAAGATTGTTTGAAAAAAATGTTTTGATGGCCAAATAGACGAGGTTAACTAGTTTAACGATACTCTAATTGATTCCAACAAAAATGTACAGAGAACCTCTTTTTTGTGCAAATTTTGTTCGTAGTGGTAATTTTGATGGGCATGAGAGAGGCAGAGAGGTGTCAAAATCAGTTTTAATCTTAAGGATTAATTTAAATGCCGTGTAAGTATAGCATCAAGAAAACTACTTCCAAACCGTCTCCCTTTGTTTTTCATTCTTCAATTCCATGCAGATGGCAAGTCAAATAAAACATTGAAACTCACAGTGAAGTAACTATTATTCTAATGTCTTTCTTAACCGATTGAGATTTCATACCCCACGAAATCAAAAACTTATCTTCCCATCAAAATATGAATACAGTTTGTCCGTAAACATCAACATATATATATATATATATATATATATATATATATATATGTTCATCAATCTAACAGTAAAATTACCTTACACTACGTTCACTCCATATTAAATGGATATCTAATAGTAATTGGTAGATCCACCCATACACCTGAATCACACCTCAAAACCAAATTAATTGTCCTCCTTTCTAATAATTCAGCTAGCTAGGGTATGTATGTAGAAATATATAGGAGATGGACTCAAAATTAGCAAATTCAACTTCATGTGGGTAAATTGCACCTCAAACAGTTGGGGATTATAGTATATTTATACACCTTTGGGGGAGGGACTATTGAATAAGTTCACTTTTGATCACATTTAATTTCTCTTGGTTAATCATATTAGGTTTGATTTTTGGAAAACTCATTGACCATTTTGCCCCATGTTATTTTTTCACATAATTTTTATTGATGTTTGATATACCCCAATATATCTTCCAAATGTAAATGTAACTGTTTCATTACTAGCTAGTTTACTGCATGTCTGAACGTAATATTTAATAATTTACTTAAATATCTTTTGTTTTTCTATTTTTCTATTTTAATTTTAGATTTTTATTTTTTTTAAAGTTAGTCTTTAGTTTTTATAAATTAACCATTTTAGTCCTTAACAATCATACGATTAAAAATAAGGTTATTATATGTTAATTTTTTTATCAAATCACGGTAAAGACTAAAAGCATTAAATTTAAATAAATTAAAGAATAAAATTTTAAAAAATAAGAAACTAACATTTTATAAAAATAGAAAATTAAAAATATATTTAAACATTTAATAATTCTTATTGATAACATTTTTATTTTAACAAATCAAAATCACATTCGGAGCCTAAACACTTATTATATACATCAAACAATTACTTAATGGTAATTAAAAAAAATATTTTATACTTCTGATTTTGTAAAGTATTTCTGGCCCATTGACAGTTAACTCTCAAATGTTTTATAGTTTTGCGTAAATTTAATTTCTTTGTAACGTAGAAATTGAGGCACAAGAAAATACTAGATCTGTGACGGATCAATATATTACTTTTATTTAAATTCAAACCTTTTATTTAGATTGATTCATAAATTTGTAAATGATTAAATATATGAAACATAACAGATTTATTGCTTATCCAAATCCATCTTTTATTCTTTTTAATAAAAAAATGTTCACTCCCCAAACAAGAAAATTCTAGTTAGTGTAAACCACGGATATGCATGGTTATCCACAATGGGAACTATTACTGGACGTGTCTGCTAGGGACAAGGTTGATTTTGACGAAGGAATATGGCAAGTCTAAAGGGCAAATAAATATTGAATAAAAAATATAGCTACAGGCAATTATTTTGTAGAAAAATCTTAGAAAAGAATTTGGTCTTCCCCTGTCATTATTATGAATTGAAAACTGTGCTCGAAACTGCATATAACTAACTGGAAATAGCTTCTGCCCGGTCACAGGTAAGACCAGGTCCAGTCATATGTATCCCAATCCTGAAAACTTTTAATTCATAATCATAAAT